AAAACAGTATAAAAATATTGTCTCTGTGTTCCTGTCCGCTCCAGATCATCTGATTTCTGGACGGTCCAGTCGTCTCTTTGGGGATGAACGTTTCCACGTCTCATTGTCTCTGCAGTTTGGTCTCAGGTTGCGCAGGCGTCACATTTTGCTTCAGTAGATCGATGATTTACAGTTTTAGCATCCGTTTCCTGTACCACGAAGCTGAAAAGAGACAAACACGTTAAAGCGTAAAGTGAAAATCTAAAGTCGCCTTCTGTTCTGTATTCTTCTATCTAAAAGTAAAAATACCAAATGTTTGCCAGAAAACAGGATCCAGTATGAATAAGCATGTCGTCCATGTTTGTGCTGCATTTAACCTTCAAACCCAACATGAAAATAATTACAAATCTTTTGAATTGTGCAGATTTTTCCCACCCATTTACATCGATAACGTTGCCGTCATTTATTACTGGATGGTAAAATGAGCTGCAGTTAGCACAAAAAATATCCACTGGAAAGAAAAACAATGCTGTGACCAGTCGATGTGAAGAGAAATAACGACACAAAAGTGACTTAAATTAAACACATTGAGTAAAATGAGGGGTTTGACTGTTTTGATTATATTGTCCGAATATGTACAAGTGTGAGAAATTAGGTGGGAAGAGTTATTATTTTAGTTGTTTCTTTTATTTTTTACTATATCTTATCTACACATCATAAATTGTTTTTTACTTCCTGCTGTTGTGAAAGGTTGGCGTTCCTGTAACAGCTTGTGTCTGAGCGTTAATGTGTTTTTACGTCTATCGCTTCGAAAAATATCTCATGAACTTCTGGACAGGACAAACTCAAAAAAGTAATTAATGAATATACACACACAACTTCTGGAGTCAAATTAAGATGGCCACAGCAGCTAACCAACCTTCACGAAGACCAACATGGTTAATACTCACTTGGTTTTACAGATATTAAGCTAAAGTGTGGAGTGGTAGTAGTTGAGAATATTTCCATATATATAGTCTGAGCACTAACAGCTTACATAAGATCTTAGGCATGAAAGGCAGCGAGTGACGTGCACTCTTTTGCAGAATGCTATGTTCAGTTTTTAAGTATTTAAAGTATTGGTCAAGAGACACGGGCAGAGGTCCGGAGAGGGGGAACGTGCGCCCGGTGATCCTTGGGCCCACACCCAAACACGGGAACCAAACCGCAGAGGCACGGTAAAATTAAATTGAATTAACAGTTTAATTCTAAACCTACATCCACCTTCTATTTACTGCAAAATCTGTCAGGGACCCCTCACTGCTGCTGCAGGGCTGGCAGGACCGGTCCTTCATGAGGCCGACAAACATGCTCTTCATCCATTATCATGCCCAAAGACATCCAGCTGACCTGTTGGGTCCACAGGGAGAGGGCTTAAACTGAACTGGACCAGTCCTGACATCACAATCATGCTGCTAACAGGACCACACTATTATCAGGACCACGCTGCAAACAAGAATGCATAGGTAACAGAACCATGCTGCTAACAGGACCACAT